ATAGAGAGAGAGAGAGAGAGAGAGAGAGAATGTGAAGTTTTATTTATTTTATATTTATAGCTTTGTTATATATATTTTATAGATTTATATATACATAGTACAAAACCTGATCACAGATTTACTGTATGCATACACTCAAACACATGGCATTGGATCATAAATTACATCATAATCAAAACCACATGCACACAATCAAGACTGAAATTTAGCAGCGCTCACAGCATGTGCATGCATAAAAAACATACACAGTCCAATTTACATGCATAGCCTACACATGACGCTTTTGTGTACTTCTCAGGGGTCGGGAACAATGATAAATACATGGAAGGCTGATTGGAGTGTAGTTTTACAGATAGATATTGACAGGCTGCAGGCTGTTCTGCTGACGCACTCATTTTTCTCTCTTCCCTCTGGCACGCTCTACCTATGCCAGACTCCTTTATATGCTCTGACATATTTCATTATTAGGATGGTCTTGAAGACGTGGCCGCTCTGAGTTTAATCTGACTAAAAACCCTCAGCTAGGGCCAGCCAAGCCAACCACTGCGGCACTCCAAGACCTCTCTCTCTTTTCTTGCATCTGCTTTGCAGTAAATGTTGTATTTTTTATTTCTTTTTCCTGTAAATTCACAATCTAGTCCAGCATTATGCAGGTCCTATTATTATTAGGTTTTTGTGGTGTCTACTAAATGTTTTAGTAAAAATTAATTGCTTAAGGTAATTTTCTAGTTATTTTTTCCTAATAAAAAAATTATAGTGAGTTATGACTTATTATGCAGTTTATCCATCAGCCTAACCTTAAGCAACCTCAAAAAACATTGCACTCATGTGATGTTCCCTTTATGCTAAGTCACAAATCATATGACTGCCTGTGAAAATTGTATCCTGGAAGCCATAATCCGTTATTTCTATAGAGAGTTCATGAGAAAGAGGTTGTCAGATGTTGCACGCTAGTCTCAACCACTAAATGACACCATAAAGGGAGTTTTAGGTGTTCTGAGAAAAAAACACTTCGCTGTTAATGGTCATATTAAGCTTTAGATAGATTTTATTGTGAAAGCCGATAGTGAAGCATATAGCTGATAGCATGAAATAGTGTGGTTTGGGTTTGTGTGTTTAAATGTACGCAAACACTTACGTAAGGTCTAAAATGTTTTGCTTTCTTTGCTAATGGCAGGTAAACTAGAAAATTTCATTACATTTGCATTTATTTGTAAATGCATTTTATTTTATTTATAAAATAAAATGCATTTATTTTATTTTATTTTATTTTATTTTATTATTTTATTTTTTTATTTTTATTATTTTTTTATTTTATTTTAAAGAAACTAAGTTTTCTTTACTGATATCCATTCCTTGCTTCCTTACAAGATGTGAACTCAACCAGTCACAATTTTATTTAATATTTTATTGCAGATAGGATATATATAAAATGATATCCATTCCTTGCACTGTTTATAAACAAATATGAACACCAGTCACAAGAACGCACATACCCATAACAATGTGCTTGTCCTATTTTCGTATTCTCTATCTCTGCTACTTTCCAAGCTAAATATTTTCCAAGTTGAATATTATAGGTAAAAGCTGTCAGAAGAAGCTCAACAGTCACTGACCTCTGAATTGATTTTTGCATAAAGGTCAAATAGTTGTTCTTAAACTGCGATTTTAACCACGCTTTATGTTGCAGTTCCTGAAGTGCACAGTTGAAACAGGCATGAAAAGAATTAAGAAAGTAAACCAGGTCAATTTTGATTTCATTTCGACTACTTCCATTGTTTTTGTGCACACATTAGTGAAGTATAACTCTCCTTCTTGCAAACAAAGCGAGGCGTGTATGTTTGTATGTGTGTGTGTAGTTGGTACAATGAAGAGCTGAGTCTCGGTCCACAGGAGAGGAGAACATGTCCATTAAGAGGATAGATGAAAGATGCTGGAGGCAGCGCACTCTCTCTCTCTCTCTCTCTCTCTCGCTGGCTTCCCTCCAACACACCTACATTTTCCTGCAGCCCCTCTCGTCCAAATGAAGACCACTCATAGAGGCTGCATTGCTCACGGGCTCTGCGGCGCTTTAGTTCACAGTTCAACATCCTCCAATTCATCTCTCTTCCTCTTCTTCCAGGAGCTGCATGGCAGTCGCCCAGTTACCGTTCGGCCCTGCAGTGCTGCTTCTGCTGATTTGTTTGTTTTGCTCTTCATCTCATTATTTTCCCTTTTCGTGATAATGGCAGCATACAGGTATCTGTCTGCCGGAGAGACTTGCCAATTACCATTTTATTTCCTAAGAAGCCGTTCAAATGACTTTCCCGTCTCGCTGTCGTTTCTCTCGGTCTGTTTCTGTTCTCGCTCGTCTAGTTTGCTGTTGATTCAGGTTGAGAGCAGCCATGTTGTGCTGGTTTAGATTGATTTATGCAAGCGTCCCAGAGAGGGCCATCTGTGTCGTGTGTTTATGTGTGTCGGCATGCATGTGGAAATGAAAACTACATTTTAAACATTTCACTGCTTAGATCCTACCGATTACAGCTGCATTTCATGGAAGTGAAATAGATGTATCAGTGCTTAATTTATGCATTATGAAATCCCAGAACAAGGACCGGTCATGGATCCCAGAGTTTGTTTATTGCGACATATTTAGTCGGTAATTAAATTTATGAGACTGAAGGCAGGTGGAATTTGCTGCAACCAGTTTTGAGTTTAAATTGCGACCGGTCATGGATCCCAGAGTTTGTTTATTGCGACATATTTAGTTGGTAATTAAATTTATGAGACTGAAGGCAGGTGGAATTTGCTGCAACCAGTTTTGAGTTTAAATTGTATATGCACTATGGTTCAATAGTTTGGGGTCAGCACGATTTAAAAAATGTATAAATAATTATCATTTTCAGAAACGATGCATTAAATTGATCAAAAGTGACAGTAAAGACATTTATAATATTACAAAAGATTTCTATTTCAAATAATGTTCTTTTGAACTTTTCTTTTTTTATTCAAAGAATCCTGAAAAAAAATCTGTTTCCACAAAATTATTAAGCAGCACAACTGTTTTCAACATTGATAGTAATCAGAAATGTTTCTTGAGCAGCAAATCAGTATATTAGAATGATGTCTGAAGGATCACGTGGCACTGAAGACTTGAGAAATGATGCTGAAAATTCAGCTTTGATCAAAGGAATACATTACATTTGAAAATATATTCATAAAGTTATTTTAATTTGTTTTAATATTTCACAATATTGCTATTTTTACTTTATTTTTGATTAAATAAATGCATCCTTAGTGAACAGAAGAGACTTTTCTTTTTCAAAAACATAAAAAAAATCTCCAGACCCCAGAATTTTAAAATGCGGTATATAAGCATTTCATTCAACTGGATTTTGTTTTGTTTTGTTTTTTGTTTTGATTTGTTTTGTTTTGTGCCAGGGATTGGTTTTTATGAAAAATACCAGGTTTGAGCTTTCATTTTGTAATTTTAAAGCCACATTAATACTGAACTCAAACATGCCATCATCAGCCTTAATTTTTGCTACGTTACAGATATATATATATTTATATATACATATACATATTTACATACTGGTAAAAAATGTATAGCCTGAATGCACTGTAAGTCGCTTTGGATAAAAGCGTCTGCTAAATGCATAAATTATATATATATATTATATATATAGAGTTAGATTTACAATAAACAGTACATTTAAAAATGTTTGAGCTGTCTCACAGTTTGGTGTCATTTCCACCGTTTTTCCACTATTAATGGTGTATTTTATGATTTTGCTGATGGTTTGTAAAAGTTAGATGTTAAATGTTTACAGTGATTTTACCACAGTTCAACTTTGTTTTGTGCCTAGAGACTCTATTTAGCTGTAGTAAAATGATGTGTGTCCTTCAGTGGATTATTAATTTATTCTTTTGTATACACATTTTCACTGCTGGTTTGCGAACAAAAGTATTTCTTAAAGGGATACTTGAGCCAAACATGAAAACTCTGTCATCGTTTACTCACCCTCATGTCTTTCCAAACCCGATTTTTTTTTCATCTGAGAACATAAAAGGGGAAATTTGAAAACTTCTCCATTTGTGTTGATTGCAGCGACATGAAAGTGAGTAAACGATGACAGAGTTTTAGTTTTTGGCTGAAGCATCCATTTAAATCATGATGTGCTCTTTCCTGCATGCCACTTTTTACCTCTCAATCACCAAGCACTTCTTTTTTTTATCTTTTCCCCGACTTTCTTTTGCCCTTTCAGTGTTTGTGCTATTCCTCCATTTTCTTCTCTTGTTTGTGCTTGTTGTAACCCCTCACCTTCTCCTCCTGCTCCTGGTGTCATTGTTCTCAGTGGTTTGCATTGCTTACGGAATCACAGTTGTTCTTCATCTCTCAGGGCTTCATTTAATGCTCCTCACCCTTGGACTACTTCTACTACTACTTTTCTGTTTAGTATTCCTGCACGTCTGGTCCGCGTTTGCAACGCCTCATTTATTCGGTGATGCTCTTTCACCCTCACCTTGAGGTTTCATCATCCACCCTCCATCCTACAGCCGTCTTTACATATTTCATCTCCGTCTGTTCTTTGAATGCGTCCAAATCCATTAGACTTTCAGCTCAGCTCACCACACAACTGTTGCATTTTCAATTCACAACTTGTGACCACCCTGTTGAAAATATCAGCTCAGACCAGTGGGAATCTTCTTGATGGTCCAGGCTGGTTAGTCCCGATGTGCCATTTCATAATATTTGATGGTGCTGGTCTTTTCAGCAAGACTCTATACACTGTTTCTAATCTTGCCCTGCTTTTCAAAGCTTCACTTTTCATTACCATCCTCCATCCTCCCATCACTGACATCCGTCCATGTCCCTGTCTCAGAACCCCTCTCCTCTAACGGGACGGCGCTGGGACCCAGGTTAGGTCTGCAGAAGTCCAGTTCTCTGGAGAGTCTCCAGACAGCGATGGAGGAGGTCGGTAAGGACAAGGTGCCCTTCCATCGTCCACGCGCGCACATGGTGAGAGGCCGAGGATGCAACCTCAGCTTCAGATACGCCATCGACAAGTCCTACGACGGGCCTTCTGAACCTGAGGACGGTGAGTTAAAACCATTGAAAGTGTTATATAACTTAAAAAAAGGTAAAATTTGTAAATACAACATTAAATAGTTAAACATTTATTAGAAATTATTATTTTTTTTTGTAAATAGTTACGTGCTTTTCTCGTTTTAGTAGGTTTTGTTTTTATATATTTGTACTTTATTTTAAACTTTATTTCAGTTAGTTGCTGAAATTAAATTAAATTAATTTTTTTATTTTGGTGAGAAAATTGTTTGTTTGTTTTAGTTTTATTTGACAAGAACAACACTGAGCAGAATAATAAAAAAAGAATAATAATGTGATTTTATTGTTAATATGACTTGTTCATAATGATATTTAAATAACAAATAAATATGATTTATTTATATGTATTTAAATGTTCAAATTCTACCATGTCAGATTTATTCCAATTAGTCCAAAAATAAATATATTTTTTTAAATAATGTATTAATTTATTAATATTTATTAATATTTTATTCTTATTTATTTAAATAAAATATACATGCATTAATTTATTAATAATACAGTTTTAATACATTTATACATTTACTCAGTTAAGCTATTTATGATTTTAATAAGAGTTTAATTTGTTTTTAATTTGTTTCTGATCATGACAACCAACAAGAAATATGTGAAATGTATTTTTTATTAGTGCACCAATGTATCCGTTTTTTTATGTCTAATGCTACATAAAACAACTCTTTTTATTTTCTATAATATATATTTTAGCAAATGGCTGCAATATAACAAAGAGTGAAAAATTGAAGGGGGTCTGAATACTTTCCGTACCCACTGTATATAATGTATATTGTCAGTGTTATTCTATAAATGTGTTGTAATTTAAACAGAAGGCCTTGTGGTTTTCTGCAGTTATTGCTCACCACAGCCAAAGTACATTAATGAGAAGTGTGTATGTGCTGCATAGCAGTAAATGCATGTTGCTGAGCACAGTAGCGAGATTGTCATGAGTTGTGCCAAACATGTGCTAACAGTTACAACTGCATACCACTGCTTCTCGCTTCGCCAAAAGTGCATCTGGGCCTTTCACATTCATTACTCTCATCAAACATAAGCCTATAAGTCTTAACATGCATTTTTCCTCATTATATATTCTGGTGCATTATGAAAGTTAAAGTCAACATGAAATCAACTGAAATTCACTCTCATTTGCTTATTATAGTGAACAACTTATTATTGTGTATATATATATATATATATATATATATATACAAACACATATACATATACCTGTTGAGTAGAAATGTCACATTATGGAAGTAAAATAGGCTGCAAATGCTGTTTCATGTTGACTTTAAATCTCTTTTAAAGTTCAGAACGATATCTCAGAACAGTTGGGTGCCAGTGAAGCTCCTTCACTTTTAGTAGCTCATTTGAGAGATGAATTTGACTCTCTGTGACTCATTGAGTTTCGTGAGCCAGTGAGGAGTGAATCAGCAAATACAAGTATCACTGATTTTTGTGAGAACCTCCAGCAGCAAGTCAGCACATTCAAGGGCACGTATCACCCCTGCTCTTTCTCATTGACACTAAAGACCTCTTCTAAATGAGAAATAGAGACAGACCTTCAGCACTAGCCAGAGATGCCTTCGATTAGAGCCTATAAGGTGTCATGAATTAATGTCAAGCTTTCTGCACCCTTAGCCGAGGTGGTGGATGAATGGAGGTCTGTGGATATCAACTTGATGCAACAGGAGGGTGAATAACACCAAAACATGTTCAGGCCACATGTCACACCTAAAGTAAAGTAAAGTTATAAAATAAAACATAAAAAAAATTAATGTTTTGCAAAAAGAAAATGATATTTGCTGGTGCGTTAAAGGAACATGCCACTATTTTTGAAAATAGGCTCATTTTCCAGCTCCCCTAGAGTTAAACTGTTGAGTTGTACTGTTTTCTAATCCATTCAGCCGATCTCCGGGTCAGGTGGTAGCACTTTTAGCTGTAGCTTAGCTTGAATCTGATTAGACCATTAGCATCTCGCTCAAAAATAACCAAAGAGTTTCTATATTATTCCTATTTAAAACTAGACTCTTCTGTAGTTACATCGTGTACTAAGACCGACGAAAAATGAAAAGTGGCGATTTTCTAGGAACTATTCTCTCATTCCGGCGTAATAATCAAGGAACATTGCATAAGCTACAGAATACGTAGAAAACGAAATCTATAGGACTAATAGCGAATTGCGCTTTGGTTCCTATTTTAGAACGTCTTTAAAAAGTAATTGTAGCCTAGTTACAGCAAAAAATTCTATATTTATAATGATAAAATAACGATGATATATTTCAAAGAGTCAGTTCTGCTGTTTTCCACATGCACCGCGATCTCTGGCAATTCATTAGGCTATAATGAATAATAAACATATCCTATCACATAGTATTCAAATCCGGAACAAATTAGTTTTTTCAAGATGAATACAGATGTTTGTGTGTGTATTCTGCAGTTCTAAAATATTTGAATATATCTGGCTACCGCCAGACCCGGAGATCGGCTGAATGGATTCGAAAACGGTAAAACTCCACTGTTTAACTCTAGCGGAGTTGGAAAATGAGCCTATTTTCAAAAATAGTGGCGTGTTCCTTTAAGGATACAAATAAAATGTATAAATACTGCCACAATATGTAAATACTTAACATAAAAACGACAGATTGTAGATAAGATAATTATAATCTTTAAATAATAATTATATAATTAAATAGTATTTTTTTCCCACATTGCAGTAATTTTTTTTTTAGCATTATGATGGTTGTAAATGGGGTAATACTTTATATTATGCAAAATGCCCCCCCCCTCCCCCTAAAAAAACACAATCTTAATTGTCGTAAATGTAATTTATTTTATTATAGTTTTTTTTTTTTTGTCTTATTATTTTGTGGTGAAATATGACATTGTGTATGGACTTTGAAAATAATGCATTTCTAATTTAAATTTTTAGTCTCATTAATTTATCTATGTAGGACAAATTTTTCTTAATTGTGAACTTTTAAATATTTGCTTTTATGTCATTATTTTGTTTTCTTTTCAAAATATTTGATTTTTTTTTAATGCATATGACTTCTGCCTATTTGGATTTACGGTAATTATACCGTAAAGAAAGAATTTCTTCATCATTTACTGACAAACGGGAGTCTGCTTTGTGGATTGTTGTTTGATTCCTTATAATTAGTTCTCATTAGGTGTTTGCTCATGTCTGGGTCTTTGTTCTTCACCAACAGATGACTCTGAGGAAGACTCCGGCAGAGGCACGCCTGCCAGCAGCTCTTCTCGACAGGATCTGGATGATGAGAAGAAGGTAAAGAAAAAGAAAACCAAAAAGAAGAAAGAGAAAAAGAGCAAAAAGAAGGACGAGCCTGAAGACCCTGAGAAAAAGACAAAGAAAAAAGGATTTGGGTTGTTGAGGTACGAGTCTGAAAGCCAGAAATTCACACACATCACAGTTTCAATCAAGCATAAAAAGAAATCTTCACGGGAAATGCAGTGATTTGTGCCAAATGATTTCCCATAAAATGTTTGGAAGCTGTTTTGCAGCTCTTAAAGGAGCCATGTCATGGAAAAAGGACTATCCAGGGTCTTTTGAAATTATGTTTAATCTCAATAGTCCAAAATAATTTAGAAAATAGTAATGTAGAACTAAATTTGTGCTGATCCATTGATATATAGTCAGAGTTTTCGAGGGGGTGATTGATGGTGCTGCATAAGGGCCTCCTGACGCAGCTGCACATGGAGGCCTTCCTATAATTACAGCACCATGGTAATTGAGGACAAGAAAAGTGAACTAACTATATGCTGTCTTTGTGTGATTTTATAAATATAGGCAGAGACAGATAAGATGACAGACATACAGTGATATCCACATCTTTAACTGAGATCGACAGGCTTGTGTTTGATGGTTTTATATTTGGGCTTCATGCATAATCTCTTTTCCTCTTGGCGGACATGAGAACTCTTTTCATATGAGATGAAAGATGATTGAATGACAGCATATGTGTCTCTGAACTATATAATAGAGCTTCTGTACCTCCTCTGTGAGAACTGACCCCTGTTTTTCCAGCATTGACTATGAATTGATCAGCAGATCCCTGCGTTTGCATGGAAACCTTAATTTTAATCAGTTTTTAGTGATTTTATCTTTGCTAGCTTTGGAAAATTTTCACATTTTGTCACTGCTAGCTTATAAAGTTGACGAGAAATTGTATCCACAAACCATTTGACTTCCATAATGACATGTTCCTGAGTGAAATAGGATGTTCAACGAGAAAAAGTGCAAGTTGTGACTTGATCTTATCCATTGGTAATCATTTGAATCGTGCAAAATGGGCAAAAAGCATGAGAATGGATGAAAGTCAAGGATATTATCTTGTTTTTAGATAAAATATTTGCTTTGTTTTTCATACTATTTTCACCATTTACTGTCTACACTACATAGCTACATCGTAAAATCGTCCTTCCGTGACTGTAACGCTTTTCAAGCGGCGGTCAAAGTGGCGCGACAGTTGTTTTGAGAGACACGTTGAAATCTCGAGTTATGTGAAAGGGTTCTGTTCCCCTCTCTTTAACGCTGATGAAATTCCCAGAAATTCAAACTCGTGGGCCGTCAGCCGAACAGCTTGGACGTATTCATTGAGGGTTTTTGCCAGGCAACTCGTATCACATCTCTGCTTTCCAATCTGCTTCCTTATTGAATTTGAAAAATGACTTAATTAGCCATTGTGTTATGGTGCAATTTAATCTAATTGTAAAGTCTTCACGGGTGCTTTTCATCATCTTAAAAAAAGAAAAAGGCAAATCATAAACATGTGAGAGCGTGATTCATGGTTCGTTTTTCAACTTTGCAGCAGAACAAACTGGTGATTTTCATTTCTTCCCATTTAGGGGTGAAAATATTGTGTTTATCGTGCGACAGAGTGTGGTTTTGAAGACAGATGTGCTGTTTGTATGGATTTGGGGGCTGCTTTCAACATAAACAATAGAGCGTCAGATTTTTGGAGCTTCGTGTTTTGGCTGCCTGCTGTGATATCTTTCGATTCACTTGTCTTTCAGGGTTTTCACAATGAAACAATGATTCACAATGAAACAATGATTAAAGCTTTCTGTATTATTTGAGTTTCTGTTAGGGATAAGTGTATAATAATGGAGGTTTTGGCTGGCTGTATGTATTTTGCATTCAGTCTCAATATATCTAACATATAACAATCTAAACAATCAGATACAATTTTCACCCAGCAGATGTAAAATGTAACTTACATTGACAATACTAACATCTCACATGAATTTGCAGAAGATTATTTTCATTAAAATAGTATTTTTATTAATACGTTATTTTAATTATAATAAATAGGATTATACATTTTATTTATTTTAAATATAGACAAATATATAATGTATAAAATATATAAAATGTTTGTATATAAAAACACATAAATAAAAATATAAAATAATATATAACAGCCCTAAACTACATATTTTATCTGAAAGTCACATAAAAACATGCGCTACAGAATTCCTCCTTTTAAACATGCAAATTCAACCTCGCACAATCATCAAATAAATAAAACCCTCACATGTGTTTTTTTTGACACTGAACCCACATTTTGAGACCGTTCTCTGGAGTTTCATACTCTCCCTCACTCCACTCTAATCTAAAACGCACACGTCTGCTGCTTTCCGATCCGTCCACCTCAATTCCGTGTAGCGTTCCGAATCTGAACCAACAAATCCAAAGCGGCATCAAGCCAATTAGCACGCCTGGACTTCCACTACCCAGAATGCATCATACAAGAGTCGTGTTGCACATCGAGATTACACACCAACCCTCATCTTGCATTCCTAAGCCAACAGCAGTTAGACACATACTAGTGTCGCTATAAACGCGCTCATAGTGTTTGTTTATGAGTGAGCAGATGGCTTTGACAGTAATCTGAAATGGAGATGATTCTTTAATTTACTTAAATTTTGCATTTGGCTCTGTTTAATCCCTGGATGATTTTAAAGACAGTCAGCGCTCTCCTGCTGCGCTCTTGACATGTTGTGAATGTTGTTCCTCCTACAGTTTTGCGTTATTAAAGTTGTAGCTTTTTTGCAAAAGTTATACATTACATTTAGTTTGCTTTCGATTCTTTCAAAGATCATTTGGGTTTGTGATTCTGTACGGTAATGGCAGCCGTGTCGAGTAGCGTGTGCCGTGCACAGTCTTTTACAACTCCATAGAGAAACATTCAACCGTGGCTTCAATTACAGTGACTTGGAGTTACACGGCCTATAAAATAGCTAATACTTACCGCCTTGTGAAAACAAGCATTAGCGACTGACAGTCTAACACAGAAATGTCTTCACGTTTCTAAAGTGCTGCAATGTTTTAGCAAATACATTAGATTTGACATTTTCTGAAGGCAGTTTTAGTGGTATTTGACTGTGTAAAACTCACCATCATGGGGTAAGATTTGGCCTGAAAACGTTTCTAGTCTTTGCTAAGGCAGTAACTAAGGTGTCTTCTAAAATTTTATCTTATTTTTTTTGTCGGCCATGTGAAAATTTTAAGTCTGAGAATTTTCGTTGACAAGTAGTAATTGAAACTGTTTTGATTACTCTGACAGAAATATAAAAATAGGTTAATTTGATTTTAAAGTGTGCAGTTTCAGCACTACTAGTAGTGATAAGAAGTCTGATTCTTTTCTGTAAACTGGTCCTTTCGGACAGTTCGTTTCAGTGAACTGGTTCTTTGCCAGTTTGTTTACATAATCACACAGTGACATCATGTATACACAATTCTAATAATAAAGGGTTAGTTCACCCAAAAATGAACATTTTGTCATTAATTGCTCACCCTCATGTCGTTCCAAACTCATAAGACCTTTGTTCATATTTGGAACACAAATTAAGATATTTTTGATGAAATCCGAGAGCTTTTCTGACCCTCCATAGACAGCAACGCAACTATCCCAATCAAGGCCCAGAAAGCTAGAATGGACACGGTTAGTTAGAAAGCTGGAATGTGCAGCTTTATTCCTTGACGCTGTCCCCACCGGTCTCAAAACTCAAAAAAGGTGGGTAGACCAGTGGTATATAGTCATATTCCGCTTGACTTGCACTTTGCAACAACGCACCCTTGTTTCTGTAAAGATGTTCAGCATGTTTTCTACAAACAATGTCTGACGTGTTTGTTTTATGTGGCTTGAGAATGTGAAAAAGTGACACAAAATCCAACCTGAGCGGTCAGATTGAAACTAATTTCCAGAAATAAGATTTGAATACAGTACAGTATGAATGTAGCTTGAAACGGTTTTGTAAAAAATCAGATTTCATGTAATATTTTGCCGTTTAGACTTGCTAACTATGATCAGATTCCAATCAGATATGCACAAAAATCGGATTTGGACCGACAGTTTGAACAAGGCTATGAAGTGAATAAACGTAAATAAATGTGTGGCAAAATCTTAAGTGTTGTTACCTGTTCAAGTTCAGCATTTTCATTGAAACCTAAACATTCCATCAAATTCCTCCATCTTGCAAAAGAACTGCCACTGTTTACTTATGTTTTACCCTGTTGTCTGTCTCTGCGTATTTTGGCAATACGTCTAATTTTGTCTTCTAATTCTTTTCTAATTTTCTTTTCCCATGTAACAGCAATGGTCTCAACATCTAAACACCCTCTGGCTCAGCCTGCTACAGTAGCCACTCCCCAAACCCCCGCTATTTGTTGAGCTGGAATGATTGACAGTTCTGAGGACTGCTCTAAATGTTTTGATTGTGCCTCAAAGGCTCAAATTTCACACTTTTAAGGGAAGATAAACCCATTATTAGTGTACTTACCGTAGTCAATGAACAATAAAGTGGGTTCACCGAATGTATTTTGACATAAAAAAAAAGACAAACTTCACCTTTAAGAGCTGATTTACAGACAAAAGATGTGTGTTGTAAGTAGTTAATAGTAGCTGCTGTGTTTAACTGTCTTCGCACACACAATGTGCTTTCACACAAAGTGCATGGTTATGACATTTGGAGCACATATAATCACACAATGACATTTATAATGGATTCCACATCTGTTTATTGACATCTTGAATTCTAGCTTATATTTAGCATGGCACACATGCTTCAGCGGGGTGCAGGATGGACACATCATGTTTTATTTCCTGTCTGAGTGGGAACATATGAAGCTGTTAACACAATCGCTCAGTGCAGCCCGCGAGAGGCTAATTACTGAAATCTGTTTCTAAAATTGAACCCCATTCTGCAGTGATTTCCTCTTTTATTCATGCCGATGTGTTCTGTCAGTCAGGCGTTGTGGACTAAAAACACATATTCATATTAGCAGAGAAGGCGCAGAGACTTATGAATATTAATGAGCTTTTGCATACTTAATCACTCGTGGCAGGCCCTCCTTTCAGTGTTTGTTTGTG